GGGTTGAGATTCCAGAGGGATACGAGTCCGTCATGGTGAGATGGCAGCCAGAGCGGGAAGCTGAGAGCTTGCATCCTCCACCACAGCCATGACGCTGAGTGAGTGAACCGGAAGAGATGGGAGGGTTTGACTTGGGATGGGCTTCCTCTAAGCAAGGCTGCAGCGCCTAAAACACCCAAAATGATGCCACCATTTGGGGACAGAGTGCGCAAATGCCCAAGACTGTGGGGCCATTTCTCGTTCAAATTAACACTAGATGCCAAGGTGACTAAATTTAGAAGAAGGATGAGAGGAAAATGAGGGTAGGGAGCTAGGTAAAGGCAAATGTTGACAGGCAGTAGAGAGAGAATATGTTTAAGACATTAGTGTATAGGGGATGGATATTGAACACATTCTAACCAGTGGTAGCAGGGATAAGCGTTTGCCATGGCCTGTGGTCTGCGTTGTCTTTTTCGATTTTGCTTAGGCGTAGAGAAGTTCCTAGGCTCCCTCATTCCTGCCAGGTCTTACTTTCCCCAAGCAGCTTACACAATAGCGTTCAAGAGCAAAAGACAAGTTTCAGAGACACAGTTCGAAACAATATTTAGGAGCAAAGAGTTTTTCCTAAACAAAGCGTTGTCTTCAGAGTTGCAACGCCCTGGCTCTGAGCAGAGACGTAGACGTGCTTTGTGCTGGCACGTGCAGTGAGCTGGATCCCTAGAACTTGCTCTGCTTCTTCAGGCCAGAGCGAGGCCTTTGTCTTATCCCAGCCCAACCGGAATTGCCACTGACTGTTCTGAAGAGCGTCTGGGCCGCTCCTTTCTTTCCCAGCATGCTTGGCGGGATTACTGTGTCTAGTAAAATGTGAACAGACTGATTCATGGGTGAGGAGGGCGTGGCCACCTTTCCCCAGTCTTAACAATCAGAGAGCCGTCTGTCAGTACAGGGCTACCTTTTGCTCGGCTTACTCAGTGATCTTCATGAGTACGGTCCCCGTAAGAGCCGTTTGCCAAGGTGCACATAGCATCTGCCCAAATTAACCTCTGCTGTCCTAACACTTGGGGCCATTTGTTGCTGCATCGGAACTCAGCTCATCCTGACTGAATCAGTGGCACTCTTTGCCAGAAAACAAACCTGAAGAGCTTATGTGAGCTTTGGGATTTTGGAGAAAAAAATCTTTGCTGGGATCCAAGCTCAAGAGAATAGGGTTCTTGCTTAGGGCCCGAGGACTCCACAAGGAGTATGTTTCCCAAGCACAAGGCTTTTTACACCATAGATCTTTGGAGGTGGGGACTGTCAAAAAACTACACTAACGTCCATAGCACGCCTCTACTAGGCATAATGATGGCTGCCATTGAGGGAACCCACCCGCTGCAGGTACCGTGCTGGCGATTTTGTACACATTATTTCATTTCCATTCCTAAATAATGCCAACTAGTAAGTGAACATCAGATAATCAACCGTCCAGGTGGGTGAATTAGGGGTCGGAGAGGCACATCCAGGAGGGAAAGCAGGCTCTTTGTCTCCACATTCCTCCCAGAGCTCTCTTAGAAGGGTGTGTGTGTGTGTGTGTGTGTTTACTCTGTGTGCGTTGGGGTGGGTAGCTCTGATCTCCCAGTGAACCATTCAGTTCTTCAGGTAATTCCATCAGAGTAACAGTGCTCTGTTCTCCTCAGGCAGAGGGTCTTCACAGAGGGGTCTGCTTTCTCAGGACGTGGCATCCCAGGTCTAGTGACCAGGCTATGGCTAGGTAAGACTTATGGGCATGTGTTCTAGAGTCAGACAGCTGAATTCATGTGAGGATCCTGACACTTAACTACATCTGCTTGACTTTCTAGCCTGTAGGGCTGTGGGACGGACAGGTCCCCATTTCCCTTTTTGACATCCTATGGTTTTCTGCCTTTCCCACTGCCCTTCCTCATTGAGGAAATGAGCTAGGCATCCCTGCAGCTTATACCCTGCTCATAGGAAGTCCAGCCCGTGCTCAAGGTGCCGAGAGAGGGAAAGGCAGGCTCTGGTTCTCTTGCTGGGCGGTGGCTCTGCGGTTTAGGCACCTCTGGGCAGTTAGCTTCCTGTGTCCCAGGTGATGGTCCTCCAGATTTTGGGAGCATAGTGATTTGTGTTCCTACTAGTCTCTGGGTTGCCTCACACAGCAATTCCAGGATCTTTCTAAGCGGTTCTCTGTGTGAAAGTCCCACTCTTGAGCTCTCTGGCATGGACTGTGTTTTCCTGACTTCTCCATGGCTGAGAGGTTAGTTTGGTACAGTGACTACAGTGTGCTCAGAACTGTGTTTGGCATGTAGAAAATGCTGGATTAAGGGAGCCTACAAAATGAACCTACTGCCCACGAGTTCCTGCCTGCACTGCCAACTTGCCCCCAGGCAGGCTCCTGGGAACACCAAGGCTCCCCGGCCGCTGCCCACTACTCCTCCTCCCAGATCGCTCGCGTCTTCAGACCTGTCTGGTGGCTCTTACCTAACCCAGCAAGGTGGGGGAGATGCAAACTCCACGACACTCGTATCACATGGCCCAGTTCTCCTTTTAAGTTTTCAGACTTACCGTGGCTAGCAGCACCTTGCCTTACCTGCTTCTGACTTTCTTCTAGCCCTCCTCTGTGACTTCAGGCTACCTCAAACCCATTGGCGTAGGCTCAGCTTACCAGCTCTGTCTTCCCTCTGGGCTCCGGAATGTTTCTGTGCCTCCTGGGTCAGCTATTCTCTGTGCTCCTTCTGCGGGGAGGTCATTTTCACCCTGGGTAAGTGTGCAGCCCTCCACCTAGAAACGCTCTCTGAACGTTACTGGGATTTCTGGCTCCCCTGGGATCCTCAGTTCTGTGACACTAATCATATGAATTTAGATGAGACAGAGTATGGTATAGAAGGTAAGCAAAGGTGATTATAGAACAGGAGGCATTCTCAAGGCTGAGAGTGAATGGGGACCAAAGAGACCATCGAGGAAGGAAAGGCTCTCCTGGGGTGCGGGTGTTGACAATGGTTGGAGATGACTGTTTAGGAGAATACTTTCATTCCATGAGAGTAGACATAGGCCACATCAACCTTTATGGTGACCCATTTGTTTAGATAGACTTTCTCCATTTCTTGAAGTTTCAGGAATAGGTATCTTCCCAAAGGCTGTTTTTCTATCCAGGAAACTGACAGATCGGCAGGCCCATATGTATCAACTTTTCTTTTCTTGAGATAGGTTAAGCTGTGTAACTAGGGGTTACGGTGAGTTCCCAATCCTTCTGCCTCTACCTCATGAGTGCTGAGACTACATAATGATCTTCCAGCCTACTAATATATAGTTAAGAGAGCTACCATGACTGCTGCAAGACTGCTTGCCTCGCTATTCTGTGACATGGACTCTTGATAGTCCTTATTTTGTCTTTCCAATTTTGTTTGTTTATTGCCTCCCATCCTTCTTCCCACCTCTGTGTGCTTGGGTTCATTAGCCACTTCCATGCCTGACATTTTTATTTTTCTACACCGACACTTAGCAAGACACCTGCTGCAGAACAGACTGAGTGGGTTCTGAAGGAGAGCATGTTGACTCACCCATCTCTAAGCCGTTCCTCAGACTTCAGAAGTGTTCATCTTTAGAAGTCTGCCCCTGCCCCCTACCTGGGTATACATGGTGCATGGGGGACCATGCAGAAACCCTGACTCATTTTTGCTGGGTCTCTGCAATCTCTGCCTGGGCCCTGTGTGGTTCTCAGAGCTCTGTTCCTCCTGTTACAAGCTCCACCGAGTGGGCCTTCCCCGAGGCTCCAAAGACTCGCTTCACCATCGAGGGCCTGTAGCCTCCAGCGCTGCACTGGTGAGAGAGATCTCACATCTCAGTGACCGTTAGGTCCGCCAACTCTGTTCACTTTTCAGTGTCCGGGATATGCTGAATTCTAAGCCCTTTGCAGACAACTCTTCTCTCTCACGAAACCAAGTTGAACTCCAAGTGGGAAACTAAAGCTCTCTTGGGTTCATCTTGTTGTCAAGAGATCATTCTTTTCATGTTCAATCAAGTTGGCTTCCCTGATAGGAAGACGTGGGAAAGCCTGAATACACTCCAGAGCAGAGAGGAAATATCGTTCATTCAATAAGAGTGAGCTAGCGTGGCTCTTTAAAGACATACTAGCTAATTTCTCTATTGCCCGATTGGCTCACCTATATATAGACAGTTTCTCTTTTGAGCTTCCTACCCTGAGGCATAGCTAGTGGCCGGTGGCCTGGAATACACCTAGTTTCTGCCTTGTTTTCTTCCTGAAAACTTTAGCCTTGCCCCATCCACCCTATCACCTAGGCACTAGGCCATGCCAGGGCAGGTTTCCCTGAAGTCTGGTCATTTCTGCTGGATTTGAGGGCCACCCCCAAAGGCTGTTGCCTCAGTCAGGTTCAAGCAGCCTTCAACCATTCCAAAACCATTGTATAGTTACAGCTGTTTGCAGCCAATGCCATACTTAACGTGGAAATCCTCCTTTGGGTTTACTTAGAGCTTAACCCATGTAGCCATTCACAGCTGAAGCAACTTCCAGTGAGAGTGAGGTCCTCACAGTGCTATGAATGTGTTCAAAGTGAGTCAGGAATGCTCAACCCCCTGTGGCCTGAAGTCACTCCTAAGAGATGGAGTCCACCCCTTCCCCTGACAGCCCTCAGCCTGCTAGGCTGACAGGGTGGATCTCTGAAGCCCTTGTCTTGTATTTGTTCCTTCTTTCACGTGGTTGAGTCACTCCCGCAGCGGGAGCTGTGCCACAGTTACAGTCAAAGCAGATGTCCCCTGCCTGAGAGGAACAGAGTTCTGTCAAATGTCCAGACAGCTCGACTCCCAGGGAGAGGCAGGGAAGCAGCAATGCCCACGGTGTCCCTTTAACTGGGGGAGCAAAGCTGGGCAGTCCCCACAGTTGCTTTTCTCTTAGGTCACATTGCCCCGGGACTAAGTCATGTGACCATCTTGGCTGCAGCAACAGTTGCAATATTCGGGAATGAGATTATCATAATTGGCTTAGACACCTTGTTTCGTTCTTTTCTCAGAGCCTGGCAAAAGATCACCATGAACAAAATCAGAGGGAAAGGACAGATAGATGTTACATCTCTCAGGGAGAGCAACTAAGAGAATCCTAGAAGCCACAAGCCAAAGAGTTCTAAAGCGGAGCTTTGAATCTTTTGGGGAGCAATTGCTAACAGGAGTTGAGTAAGTACATCTGACTCTAGAGAAGAGACAGCACTGTCTTGTTAAAGCTATATTTACAGCGGAGTGCCTGGCATAAAGGAGAGGCGCTGTAGATATTTACTGAATGATTGAATGCCCAAAGGGATCCTGGAGAAAATTAAATGATGAGGAAAAAAGATAAAGCATAGGTCTCCTCATCATTCACCTGACTTCTTCAACTAGAATTTTCTAGAATGATTGTTATATTTTAGATCAAGGGATGCCATGGTTACTGCATGATTGGGTTTTGAAAAGTCGGGTAATACCATTATCTCTTGGAGAAGTGTAATTTTGTAAGTGGATCAGCAATAAATGGAGCAAACGAACTCAGGTTCCTTTTGATCACCAGGGAAAGCCTTTAGGGGAGGAACTGTTAAATGGGCAGTATCAATATTGGGCAATGTAAATGTTGGAAAAATGGGGGACTTAATATGAGAAAGGTTTGGGTTCTGGTCCCTTCTCTGTTACCTCCTGTCTCTGTGGGGTTGGACTCCCTACTCTTGCCATACATGTTAGCTATACATGCTATAAATTCCACGGTATATTGTTTTTATTTTTGTTTGTTATCTTTTAAAGATATTTTAATAAGGACATTACTTGGAGGTCCTTAAAATCTTGTAATTCCTTTGTGTAGATTCAGATTTCAATCTGTGGCATGTTCCTTTCTGTTTGAAAACCAGTAACATTTCTTACAGCCCGGGTCTTCTAGAGATGAATCTTTCAGGGTTTCCCTTTCTCCTTTCCTTCATGCACCTCAAGTCCCTGATGCCATGTTCGTCATTTATTTCCAGTTCCTCACTGCTGCATTCTGCATAGTTCTGACACAGGGTTTTAAAGTAATTCATTTTATTTTTCAGTAACAATTAACCTGTTGTTAATTCATTTCAAGTGTGCATGTATTTATGTCTTTTAAAATCTCAATGATTTTATAACATCTGTTTGATTTAGATTTTTTTGTTGGAGACAGGGTCTCTTGTAGCCCAGCAGGCCTTGAACTCATCTTGTAGAGGAGGATGAGTTTGCACTCTGTTCCTTTGCCTCTATTTCCTAAGTGCTGGGATTAAAGGTCTGTGTCACGGCACCTGCTCTTATGTGGTGCTATGTATGGAACACATGACTTCACGCATGTTCCCTAGGCAAGAAATCTACCACCCGAGCTGCATCTTCCCTGCCAGTCTAGACTTGGCTTAAACTCTTGTCCGAGTCTCTACTCCACTTGCTACTAACCTACTATCTCTAGGAGCCTCAATTTGCGGATGTCCCCATTTCTGTTATGCACCACTCTTTCCTCTTTCTTCTTCTTTTTTTTTGCAACCTAATAATTTCAATTTGACAACACCTAGAATTTCACTGTGAGGTACAGGATACAGGCAGGATATTTTCTATTTCCTGTAAGTATTCTCATGCATTATTCTTGAATACACACACACACACACACACATACACATACACACAAATTGACTAGAGGGTTGGGAGTGGAGCTTGGTTTTTAATATTTGTTAAATAGGGTCATAATAGACTTTATTGTAGGGCTAGTTTTGCTCTGCTACCGAGGTGAGATCATTTGTCTCATGAATTCTGGGGTTTTCAGACTCTTTGAAGATCAGGCATCTCACAGTCTTGCATGACCACTGAGAATCTTTGAACCCTGACTTGTAGGAACAAGGATGATTCCCCGTCTTGTGCAAGCCACAGCGAGCGCTCTTTCACCTCTTCATGCTTATGTCTTCTTCTTCCCTGCGTCTGGGAAGCTCCCTGACATGTGGAAGCTCATTAGCTGAAGACTGGACTGAGGTCTGCAGGTCTACATGGCTTCCTGTGCCACACAGCTTTTTCCTCTCTGGTACTCTGCTCCAGCTCCAGTTTACCTACACCTCTTGAGTTTTTCCTTTTTGTATTGAAGCCTGGTAACAACACAATTCCAGGGATTAGCTCATTTGCTTCCCCTGGACTGTCCATCTCAGATACACGATGTTTGAATGTCATTTTTTTTAAATGCCTGCCTGTTTGGCTTTTGTTGTGTTAAACCAGGCAGTGAATTCACTCATTGCCCCATCTTGACTAGCTGGACTGGTTACTGTTGACAGAACAGATTGCTTAGGGTGTCACCTGTTTCCAAAACAATTTTCATTAGTAACCTGGACTTCTTGGCATGGCAACCAACATTTACACACACAGTGACCCTTGTGCAAGAGGAGTCCGTACAACTAATCTTATGTAAGACACATTTTCCCCCTGGCTTACATTTTATAATCTCTCTGTTGTCATTTTTTTCTATTTCATTTCATGTTGTTTTCTATCTCCCTAAGGCTTTTCTTTCTATTTTTTTTCTTCCATGTTTTGTTGTTAGGGCCCGGTATCCTGTGCAGAAAATTTCATGTTTTGGGCTAAGAATTCCTCTTTGTAGTTAGTGCACAGTGCTCCGGGACTTTAGTGACGTGTGTTTGCTTTTTGCCAAGGTTCATGTGAGGCAGGATAAAGGCAGCGTCTTTGACTTCAAGAAGCTCTGTATTGCTTCTTCTATCAACTCCCACTTCCACTCTCTGGGGTTGTTTTCCAAAAGAGAATGTTTGCTTCTTGGGATGGGTTATAAAGAGAAGTAGGAAGTTCAAGTTAAGAGACTCTTGTTTTTCTCATGCCCCGGCTTCAAGTGTTTATGGGGAGCTTATTATAGCGTGGCACTGAGCGTTGATTAGGACTCTGGTGCAAGGCACTGCCTTCATGAGTTTGTAACCTTGTGGAATCCTGACACAGATTGATAAGACATGGTGCCATTGCTAATCTTTGAGATGTTACGGGAGAATGTGATAACTAAGAACAGGACTGAGCAGGAAGGCCTGGAGAACCAGTTTAGGGACTAAAGAGTGTGGGGAGTAGCACATCTTAGAACCATGGCAGGGACAACTGCGGGGGACAGGGGGAAAAGAGAGGATCGCTCACTGTTGTAGGCTTGATGTGCCCGGCCCAGGGATTTCAATACTAGGGAGCTCTGGGTAAGTTTTATTGGGTTATTCGTGCACAAAGATTTATTGGAGCAGATGAGAGTGAGAGCATGCAAGATGGATAAGAACCAATAGCAGCGAGTTGAGGACAGAGCCCATGCCTTAGTCATCTCCATGCTCCCAGATTCCAGTTCATATTCAATGTGTGTGGAGTGGTATTTCAATTGCAAATGCTTTTGGATAACCATCAGCCTTGTCGATAGCTTTGGCAAATATTGCAAAAGAGCCCCTTGCTGCCCCCGTGTCGTTTTTTTGTTTAAATGGCTCAAGCGAGGCAAAGTTTGACCCTGACTTCCTCAAGCCGGTTTTTAAAAAGGTGTTTTAAACTGTAAATTCATATATAGTTGTTTACACACGCATACATAGGAAGTAAAGTGCTGTTAATGATTTATGAATACAATGCAAAGTAACTAAGTTGAGCTAACTAGCATCCCATCGTTTTCAAACACTTCGCAGTTTTTGTGTGATAGCATTTGAAATGTACATTTCAAAACCTCCTAGGAAGTCAGAACACGGTGATTTAGCACAATCACCGCACACACTATTTTGCGCAATAAGATCTCACAGGGGGAGAAAAGCTAACTCTTCCTGCCTTGGCGGCTTTGTGACTTTCAAGCCTTACCTTATCCATTCTTCATTTATTTTTTTCCTCTTTTGAGGCTCTGCAACTCACAGATATTTCACAACGCTGCCTTCTGCGGCCGCCACCCCCACCTCTTACCCCCGCCTCCACATTCTTAACAAACTCAGCTTACTGTCACTGGTCTCACAAAAAGGGCAAGATCACGCCTAGGTGGCGTCTAAACACACACAGCCACAGCCCACATGCACTCCACGGCGGGGTCCGGTGCGGGTGGGGGCACCGAGGTCAGCTGGGGTCACACAGGGAAGGGGACGGACAGACTGACCCTCCGACCCACGCAGGAAGCATGCAGCGTGGGCAGCGTAACCCCGAGGCTCACTCCCCCAGGCTCAGCGCCCTAACCCTTTCCCTGCATCCAAGCGCCTGACGCAAGGCCCAGCGGCCGGCCGCCCCCGACGTCACCGCCGCGCGCCGCCTGCGTCGTCACGGTGCGCCGCCGCCACCGCAGGCACCGAGCTGGAGCGCTGGCAGCCGCGGGCGCCCGGGCGCGAGCTGCCGGGCAGAGCGGTGCGGGCTGCGGCTGCGGGGCCGGAGGAGCGCGGGGCCAGGTGCGTGGGCGCCGCTCTCCCTGGGCCCGCCTGGGGCTTTGCAAGTGCCCCGGGCGGGCTCCGGGTTCCCCCTCCATGCGGGCCCGGGTGACAGCACCGGCCGGGCTGTGGGTCTGGGACCCCCGGGGAGCCCCGCGAGCCGCCGCCTGACAGCCGCCCCGCGCGCGCGGTGGGATGGAGCGCTTTGCGTCCCGCGGTGTACCGGGCGCGCTGTGCGGACCATGCTCTCCCTGCAGCCCCAGGAGAGCGCGTCGGATGCCCGGCGGGCGGCTCATTTTCCAGATGGGAAGAGCGAGGCGCAGCGGCTCACCCGCTCGTGTAGCCGGGGCTCCGGACTCCGGAGGGGCCTGCCGGCCTCTGCCCGTGTCCGAATGTCAGGGTTTGGTTTGTGCCCTGATCAGACAGCTGTCTGGACGCTTTCGGATTTTAGTTGTTTTCTTTCTTTCTTCTAATTTTCTTTTTTAATTTCTCCTCGTCTCTCCTGAAAATAAATAAATAAAATCTGCCTTGACCTCGGGTAAACCCTGTGGGGCGGGAGGAGCGAGGTGTGGATCTTCTCTTGGCACTTAGCCTCCCTGTTCCTCCTCTGATCTCCTCGTTTCTCTTCCCAGGCTCCCCCTGTTGTGTGGCCGTTCTGGACCGGAAGTTTGGCAGCTGAGGCCCGAATCTTTATGACACGGAACTTTCCCCTCAGGTGAGATGCTTCGGTGGTCTCTTGTGTGGGCTGACTGGTTTTGCAGAATGCTGGTGTTCTGAGGCTAAACAGCTACTGGAACAAATCCACGTGGGGGTGTGTGTGTGTAAAGAGTCCACGTGCTCCCTTTAGGGAACGCCGTTCACTGAGGGAGCTCTTTGGGTTTTAAGAGAAGACTCTAATGCTAGATGGCAAATAGCCTACAGCTAAAACAATTAAAGATTGTTAGAAGAAGGATTTTAGAAATGAAAAAGAAATCTATGTCATACATTTAAGCTTGCGCTGCAGCCGCAGAGATGGGTCAGTGGTTAAGCGTGGTGGCTGATCTTTCAGAGTTTGGTTCCCAGCATCAGCAGCAGGTGCCTCACAACCACTCTAGCTCCAGGTGGTCTGATGCCCTGTAGTGGCCGCCTCAGACACTCATGTGCATATGTGCATACATGCAAAACATGTCTTCACCCTTGTAGGAATCACTCGGTTATCAACAGTGCAGTAATTTGTTGCATGCTAGCATTAAGTCCTTCTTTCTTACAAGTGACTCTTCATGGCAGTTTTGCTCAGGAATCTGAAGGGTACACATGTTGTATCCGTGTATGCTTAGGAAACACTGGTATACAGATGCTGACTTTTCCCTCTGTGGTCAGGGCAGCTTAACGGGAACATCAATACGTCAAGCCAGGTAGGCGCTCTGCTACCAACCTGGAGTTTCTATGTAGCCACTTACTGAACCAGAAATCTGTCCATACCCTGCTCCTGACCAGAACCCTGCAGGCCACAGTGTTTTCACCCGCGTTAAGTACCTATTTCTTGCAGCACATGAGTTGGGACTTCCACGTTGTGACATGGACGAGTCTTCAGTGACGCTTGGCACAATAGACGTTTCTTATCTGCCCAGTTCATCAGAGTACAGCCTTGGCCGATGTAAACACACAAGGGAGGACTGGGTAAGCTTAGGGGACGTCTTCAGAACAGTTGAACTCTTTGCCTTGTATCAAGTAGACTGATCACCGCAGAAACCGCTTCCAGCTCTTAGAAGTGGGTTTGCGACCTAAGAATAACTTAAAATTTTTAGTAGTATTACTTGGCAAAAAAAAAAAAAATTGGGTGGGAGATTTTGAAATAGTGATTATATTTAAAAAAGCAAATTACTTGTCCAGAGGCATAAACACATAAAACATTAACCACCCAAAACGGTAGTGTGCTCATAATTTCTTTTCCTTTCAGTATCTATGCCACAACTGTAGTGAGCGTGAATTTTATGTTGGAAATGAACTCTAAAAACATTAAAAATGGGAAACTTTGCTTATTAAACTAATTGAAAAGGCATGCATTTTCTTGTGTTACTATTTCAAATTACACGGAGTGTTTAAAATACCTCAACACAAGTTTATAACATGGTTAATTTTAAGACCGTTGTATCAGTGAGATCTGAACAATAAACAAACCTGAAGTTAAAGAGAAATCTGAACACAGTTGAACAGGGTTTGACTCCAGTCAAACTATCTCTGCTTTAAATCCTAGTCTCTTGCTAAGAGACCACCCTTAAGCACACTTTATTTTTGCTCTTAAGTACGGTAAGAACGCCTGCTTGCTGCGTCAGGCCTTTGTAGCTTTGCTGCAGCAGTGATTGCAAGGGCATGAGGCTGACTGAGCATGGGGATTCAGGAGTCTGATCTCCCTAACCCACTGTCAGAAGTCCCTCTGACCTTTGAACTTCGGTTACTCTTCTACTCCCTGCTTCTGTGAGGCCAACATTTTCAGCTTGCACGTGTAAGCTTTTGTGTGCCTGACTATTGTTAACACAATGAACCCCAGGCTTTTTTGGGTTTCATCCCTTTTTTTTGGTGGCTGAATAATATTCCACTGGGTAATATGTATGCCATGTTTTTATCCATTCACCCTCTGGTGAATATCAAAACTGATTAAATCTGTGAGTGTCGTTCCAAGCATGGGGCAGCTGTTACAAACTATATTTTTAGGAAACCAACTTTTCTTTACGTAACAAACTTTTTTTCCAAGTGGTGATTGTGGAACAAGATAGCTTTACGTGAGAACACTCAAGGCACATGCAGTAATACTGCCCAAAGAAAGAAACAGCATAGCCTCCTGTTTTATTAAAAGTATTTTAGTTTTAGAGACCAAGGGGATGAGAACAATTTTCTGCCATTGAGACACAATCTCTGCCTTGCATTTACCAGGGAGACTGTGGGTTCAAAACTACCTTCTTCAGATCCGCGACACTGAAATGGAAGGAGAGCCTCATGAGCAGGAAGAGGCCCTTCGTGGGAAGGTGCTGCTACTCCTGCACGCCGCAGAGCTGGGTAAGGTCTCCCCTGCTCGCCACAGAGCTGGGTAAGGGCTCCCCTGCTCGCCACGGAGGGCGCTGGGTGAGGTCTCCCCTGCTCACCACGGAGGGCTTCGCTTGTGTGGATTTTATTGTTGGGTCTTAGTGGGTTTGATTCCTTCAGGACCAAGAGCCCTGCTTATATATAAGTCAAAAGTTTCAGGTAAAGAAATGGACTTAATTCATTTACTCAGTAGTAATTGGCTTGCAATCAGGGGGAGAGTAGATTTTTACTTTGAGTTAACATCCATTGAGTTGATGGGGTGCTGACTTTTCAGCCCCCAGGAATGCCCTTGGTTTTGGTTGTTTTGCTGAGAAATAAGCATGCCCATGCTCCTTCCTCATCCCCTGAGAGGAGCTGACTGGGTGAAAGGTGAGCTGCTAACCATTTGGCAGAGGGGGGATGAGTTGGCAACCCTGGAATTTCCTTTCTTCCCTACTGTTCCAAGGCGAGAGTTAACATTGTGAAAGGTTGCAATTGTTGCTAAGCTGTTCTTTGGATGAACCAAATATTTAGGAATCAGAAACGGATGTTCACAGAGAGGATGCTTATAATTTGTGTGAATTCTCCACCGGAGGCTGGTTAGGCAGGAGGTGTAGTTCTGAGCCTGGCATAAAGGACTTTATTAACGTTGGCGAGATTTAGGCAGAGCCCGAGCAGTTCTTAGTGTTCAGGTGCGCTCTAGAGTGGCTTGTTAGGGACGCCCCTTTATACAGTAAGTGCCTTAATGCAGGAATTCGTTACCACTGAAGAAGCATGAAAATTACCAGTCCAGGAGTGAGGCCAGTTGAGATTTAGAGGTCAGTGGAAACACAAATGTTAAGTAGAGGGTCATGTGGCTTTTCTTTTTAGACTGACCTCTCACCTAATTCTAATTTTGAATGCAAGATGATGCCTTAACTACAGTTTTACACCAAACAATATTGCAACCTGAGTGGTGCAGAGTATTGTCAGCCAGAGCTTCACATGAGCTATTGGTGGTTGTAAGGCTATGGCCTGGGGTTGGGTGGGTATATTATAACAGGCTATTGCTTTTTGTGTAGAGGTAGTAATGGATGGAACTACATTCTTCTTGAATTTCTTCCATGCTCATTCAAAGTAATTTGTTAGTAAATTTTTTTTATAGTTCTTGATATTTGACAGGCATTCTTTGAAACCCTGGTCTTTTTTTTGTAAAGAATTTCATTGAATTAACCTTTACATCTAATCGACACACGCTTTGGTATTTACTGCTTGGACTTTTACTGTTTTGCTCACATTGTTAAAAGGGTAGACTGTCGTTCCTAGATCCCCTGGGAAGACAGTGACTTGTAGGTAGATGGATGTACTTTTAGGTGACCATTAGGTGGTCAGTTGTTTTAGGGAACGGAAATGTCTGACTGCTCAGGTTTTGGCAGCTTTAATTTTCATGCTCATATAATGGGTAATTTTCTTGTGTCTTAATGGGCTGAGGGGTTTAACTCAACAGTAACTGGTGTTTAGGATAATAGATTGCATTTGGGGAACACTGAAATCTGTGACTTTGTCACTGAAGCCGATTGTAGGTCCCTGCTCTGTAGAGGGGACAGTGGTGGGAAAGGGAAGGGATACCATGACTTTTGGTTTTAGGGTTTCAAAGTTAAACTTGAGTTTGTGACTGTCTTTAAAGCATAAAAAGTACTTACTATTTACTAAACCATGTATTTTCTTCATTCTGTAAGTTTTGAAGCCGCTTGAATTTTAAGTGTCTTCTGGAGACATCACTGGGATTCGTGACCACCAATCCAGCTGTGAACTCATGTCTGCATTCATTTTGTTCTTTTAGGAAAGGTTTTTCAACCCCAGTATCCCATCTCTGGGTTTGCGGAATGTTATTTATATCAATGAAACTCACACAAGGTAAAAAGACATTTTCTATACTTCTCATGAGTGTTAGAAGTAAGAGTCCGTACTGCTAATTAGCTGCTTTAAGGTTTCTAGAGTGGCTAGAGTGTGAGTCTTTGAAACAAGCAAGTTCATGTAAATATTAGAAGCAGGACAGACAGACTGCCTCCCGAGCCCTGCCATGGTGACTGCTGCTCTGCTGTCAGACATGCCCATGTGGTGTAGCTGTCCATGTGGTAGTCCTTAACATATGTAGGCCCTGGCTTTTGCTACACTGGGAAGTGTTTCTTTGACAAGAGTTAGGTTTGAATGTCTTATGATACTTTGTAACTTTACTTCCAAACATACAAATGTGACCAATGAGATGTCTTAGCTTGATGACCTCCCAAGTTAGATTCCTGGAACCCATGATGGAAGGAGAACATCATCTCTGGCTGCCATATATGCTCACATGTGTGCTGTCATACATCAACACATGTGTGCAGTCATATACCAATACATGTGTGCAGTCCCACACCAACACATGTGTATAGCTGCAGACCAACACGGGAGTTTAAAAAATAGAACAGATGATTAAAAACCTCCTCACTCTGTAGAGTCCTGGAACGTATTGTCTCCCGGGTAAATGCCCCCTTTTGATAGTGAGCGTCTGTTGTACAGAGTGGTGAGTTTCATCCTATTTTCATGATGTTCATCACTGTCCTGCGCTCAGATTCAACCCCCTCTTTCCCTTTGTCCCTTTTCCCTCCTGTTGGTCCCCTCCCTGCAGTAAACGTTCTTTGATTTACTTACTGAAGGTAATTTAAAAAAATGTGTTCTGACTTCCAAATCCCAGAACATGGGACTTGGTAGGTGCCAGGGGGAAAGGAGCCTTTGCTTCCTAAGTCAAGGGAAAGGTAGAGAGTGTGTCTGTGAAGCAAGAGGAATAGCACCTAAGATGCCAGTGGTCATTATGGTCCTAAGAACAGATACCTCAAGGTGCTAAGAGGTGTTCGTGGTTATGGGAAATGCTGAAATTCTGTGAAAGGTGATCCAAGAATGCAGTACATGGATTTGGTCCTCAATGGCCCTGCTCTTACCGGGGTGAAGATGGTCTTGTGTGAGCGTTGAGACCTGATTGTATGTTCAGTTTGTAATAGAACCAGAGTCCAAATCCTCTCTTTCTCCTTGTTTACATTTAAAGCAGAGAGGAGAGACTGGTCCATGAGATTTGCTTTTATTTCCTGTTTCTTAGTTGGCATGACTGCACATCCTCAGTAAAGCAGCAGTTTCTTCTTCATGTAAATACATATTTTACATATGAAGTCAATTTCGTTGTCTGTTATCCCTGTTTGGAGCAGTTTTTAAGACATTTTATAGGGCGTAGGCTGTGTTGACCTGATGGTAGCTCAAACTGTTACCTGAAACTGTTGCCTGTGAGCTGCTTGTGTGTTGAATGAGAACGGCTTTTAAAGCTTTCATGAGCATGGGGTGTGCACTGTCCTGCTGCAGTGGCCAGGCCAGGCCCCACACATTCGTGTGTGCTGCTTCTCCCTTGGGTCCTCAGTGCTCACTCGCCCACACTTCCACACCACACAGACGCCACGCTTTATAGGCTGCAGAGGCGTTTCAGAGAGCGCTTGGGCTTTTGTTGTAGTGGGAAGGGTTTAGGGAGAATGCAACACAGAGAGCTAACTTTGGGAGGAACCAGGAGACATGTGAGACGTTACTCACAGGCCGCTCCACTCTGTGTCTTTTCAGTTACCGACCTCATGTTTGAATCTGCGGTCAGTGTCACTATGGAGGAAATAATAGTGCTGCCTTATGCCTCTGTGGTTTCAAATCATTGCAGTGGGACTCATAGCTTCTTACTCTGAAATGCGACTCTGTACCTCCAGCCAATCTCCACATAGTTGCCACCGCCTACAAGAGTGTGTCCTTCCCCTTAGATAGGCCTGATGTGTGCTCACAGAGGAAAAGTGCGACATTCCAACGCTGAGTGTCTTTGATCTTGGAAGAACGCGTTAATACAAAAAGTAGCCCTTTGTGTTGGAAGAGACCTCCATGTTTCCTGTTGGTAGCCTAATGCTGCGGCTCTGAGCTGTGCACACCTGTCTACCCCTGCTCATACACAGCTAACGGGTAGCATCCCCACTTGCTGTCCCTGTAATGCTATTGAGAAAGTCACTTTTTGTTTTGTTTTTAGATTTGGATTACTATTCAGAAAAATAGGACAATTTAAGCATTGATAGACAGTTTCTCAGTTTCGGTTTTACCTGAGAGTTGACGAAAGCAGTTATGAGTCCAAATGTCTGCGCAGCATCCTGACCTCTAGGGCCGTTGTCTGGGATAAGTGACTGAAGCTCTCCCCGTGGGTGGGAAATCACTGTGTGGTGGTATACTGGAGGACTTGCTGAGAAGGTTTGTGTGTGTGTTTGTTGCAGGCACCGAGGATGGCTGGCAAGACGACTTTCTTACATCCTTTTTGTTCAAGAGCGGGATGTCCATAAGGGCATGTTTGCCACCGGAGTCACTGAAAATGTTCTGAACAGCAGCAGGTGAGTGCAGGACGCTGTTGATAAGGTGGGGACAGGCTGGATGTGTGGGGACAGGCTGGGTGTGTGGCGGTGGGAGGGCAGAGGGAATTAGGCCTCTTCTGTTGCTGTCTTTGCTTTCCTCTAGGGAAATGCTTACATTTCTGAACAGTAAGTGCTAAGACGCAAAAGACTGGAGGGAAGTCGGGGTGGGAGGTGTGGTAAGATTGCGATGTAGGTGGCGGGCAGTCCTGTTTTATGGACTGCGTCCTGAATGGTCCTCTAGAGTGTGAGAGGCCAGTCATGTTAGAGACGCATGCACATGTGCCTAGGATTCCCCGTCAGTTTTTCTGTAACATGAACACCAGGGACAACACATTTCCTGTTTTGACAGCCCAAAGAGAGGTGCTTGGTGTTTTGCCCACTGGTTACTGAGACCCTAAGTCCAAGTCCTTGTAGTAGGAAGCCACTGCTACAATCTTGGGGATAAGATTCTCTGCTCTCCGAGAAAATGTTTGCCTGCCAGAGAGGCTGACCTCAGTGGACTACCAAGAGAAAGAGGCGCGCCTTCACTAATGTGTACCAGCCTCCAGCAGAGCCTTGCCAGTGCAGCGAGAAGCCGGAGTAGAGAATCTGGAGCAGTCGCAGGGAGCACAGGGAATGGGAAACGGGCATTCAGGTAGTTTTGAGGTGTGAATAGCTGCAGGGGACCGAGTGAGCCAAGGAAAACAGTAGTTGGGACAGAGTTCTCCTCTCTGAGGGACACAGATGAGCCATGGAACTGCATGGGGGACAGAATGATTGGATCACCCAGGTAGCTGGAAGCCTTCCTCAGAGGACTAGTGACATCACCCTGCCCCTGCCCAGCAGCCTTCCCTACCTGTTGAAAAGGATTCCAGGAGTTGCTGAGAATCTCGTCTGTTTGGGGAGAAGACTCTGTCAGATAGGGAGTTCCAGAGAGCCCCCTCCCAGTGCCTTATATCAGAGGACATCTCGGAGAGCTGGGGAGTCTGAGGCAGTTTCAGGACCTTCCATTGACCTGTAATTTAAAGTTCAGTTTGCCCCTTACTTTTCGGGGTGGTTTTCTGACCCCCTGCCTGTGGGAGCTTGGGTGAGAAACTTACTCTGCTTCACCTCTTGGGTGTGGCTGGAGCTGGAGATGGGGGTGACTGAAAACTTGGAATTCACAAGGTTTGTTTATAGCCCTGTCAGGGGTGGTAGCTCCATCCTCAGTAGTGCTGGCTCATAGTAAGTATTTAGGAAAGCACGTTAAGTGAATTGCTGACTAGCCGAGAGTGGAGATGTCACAGTAGATACCCAGAGGAACAACCTACGTCCATGCAGTAAATGCTGTCTAGAGAAACAGGCTAGGCCCTCCCATGCAGTAAATGCTGTCTAGAGAAGCATAGCTAGGCCCATGCATTAAATGCTGTCTAGAGAAACATGCTAGTCCTGTGCAGTAAATGCTGCCTAGAGAAACAGGCTAGTCCCTCCCATGCAGTAAATGCTGCCTAGAGAAACATGCTAGTCCTGTGCAGTAAATGCTGTCACTAGGGTGGTGGGAATGCTTGCAGTCAAGAGAAGATCTGTCTGACTGGGGTGAGCTTTTTCTTCAGCACACTTTGTATAGCTGTGCTGATTTTGATCCTGAACCCTGCCTTGGTAAAATGACTGGTTCAATTGGACAAAAGAAAAAGTAAATAGTTGTTTCTACTTTAATGCTTTTCAGAGAGTTTTGCATGCAATTCTAGTGCTGTGACAGCATAAACAAATGACAGATTATGATTTCTAAGGAAAATCATGCACCACTTTGACCTTTTTGTGGCAGATTGTTTTACTTTATTATACCAGATTGCATGAAGCCATTTTCACAGTTTGCATCTTCTTTGAGAATATTCTCCATCGTGTGTTATGTATGCTGCAGTAATCGTCTTTATCCCTACTTTGCTAAAGTGTAACGTGACGGGGCATTCGAGTTCCATAGCAGCCACTTAGTGAATCTGAGTAAAATCACTAGGTCTGTCCAGAAGATTTGTAAGGGATTCTTTGGCTTAGGAATGTGTTGCCTATTTTTAATATTATTGTTGTGTGTGTGTGTGTGTTGTGTGTGTGTGTAGGAGGAGGAGGTCAGAGGGCTGGCCAGTCCTCTGGAACTGGAATTACAGGCAGTTGTGAGCTGCCTGATGTGGGTGCTGGGAATCAAATTCAGGTCCTCTGCAAGAACAGTACAGACTCTCAACCACTGAGACCTTTCTCCAGGCCCTGGCCATCAGTTTGGATGGACAACAAGGCTAGTGGTCTTGAGCTTTCTCTTTTGCTTCTATACTACTTCTTAAAGAGAATATGCATTTTTTACATATTAAAAACAATGGACATTTTATTCTGTTTTCCCATCCTATTCACTTAGCATAGTTTTAGAAAATACTGAGTAACACGGAATCAGTTTAATTGTCTGACTCTTACTTTCACATCAGGGTCCAGGAGGCGATTGCTGAGGTGGCTGCTGAGATGAGCCCGGATGGATCGGCCCAGCAGCAGTCTAAAGCCCTCCAGAAAGTGAAGAAGAAAGCCAGAAAGATCCTGCAGGAGATGGTCGCCACCGTCTCCCCAGGCATGATCAGGTAGCGAAGGGCTGGGTGGCTTGAGGCCAGACCCAGCGTGTCTCCATCAAGGGGGTTAGAACTATTGGGCCTTCCTTTCCTAGCTCAAGGAAAAGATGTGGACAAAAGACATTGGTGCATTTCATGTTAATCTCCCCACTCAAGTATGAACCGCACAGCGGAGGCTTCCATCTGCCTTTGTCCCCACTGATGGGTAGCAGCCACTCTGTTATGCCTCCTCAAATGGCAGAGTCTTGTGTCTTACAGGGAGGGGTTACGTGTGTTAGAACGGTCGTTTTGCTCACTAATTTAGCATGGCCATTCACCTTCGAAGGACTAAGTGCTAGTAGAGAAAAATGTGTTCATCGTCCACAGTGAGGAGATAACCTGTGTGAGCAGTTTCTTAGTCATTTACAGTGGAACACTCATTTGTTAGTCCAGATGCCTAAGTGCACAGGAGAAGTCATTTATAAGTGCTTTTGGGTTGCGGGTTCAGAAGCTGTGGGAGGCAAAAGTGAACTGTATGCAGATTTATAATACATACATGCTTGTCTATGTTCGTATAGATTGAGATGTTTTTATTTCTTCAGGCTGACTGGCTGGGTGCTGCTAAAACTCTTCAACAGCTTCTTCTGGAACATTCAGATTCACAAGGGTCAGCTTGAGATGGTCAAAGCTGCGACAGAGGTATCACTGTGTTTCCCCTGAGTGTGCGGCATGCTGAGCTCTCTCAGGGGCCCCTCTGTGCTGTTGGGGCTGTGAAGCCTTTTGGAAAACCTCCCACTTTGTGACAACTGCAGTAGCACTTCAGGAGAGAAGCAGGGTCTACAGAAAGTGTATAGAATTCTTTTTGTAAGTTACCTAGCAACAACCCTGAAAACCAAGTTATGCAGTACCTGCTTTACACACAGCAAAATAGAGGAGTAGGTAGAGGGGAAACGTTGGCCCAGGTCACAGATAGTAACTGATTTTTTCCATGCTTTAAACCACCCCGGCTCCAGAACCTCTGCTCACTTTCCATGGTGAAGACCCCCTCTCAGGAGAGGTGTGGTCGCCCTGGGCCCGAGCTGTTCTTCCTGCTAGTCACTATGTAGTAGTGGGTTTGCTATCTAGATGTGTAGGCAATGAAGAGTTACTGGCGCACTTTAGAATTCAGTTTGTATTTTAAAATAGTCTTTTCTCATTTTGCATACCAAGCCCTGTAACGTGTAGTTTTCCCCACCAGCCGCCTGGGCCCTGCTGCAGTTTCAGCCCCCAAATAACCCACGAGACACTGTATTAATTATGAATCTGTTGGCCATTTGCTATGGTTTCTAATCGGCTAGCTCTGACTTCATTGTTGACCCACAGTCACCAATGTGTATTTTTATAAGGACTTACCTTTTTGAGAACTCAGACTCGAATCCCCTCTTCCCAGGAATCACATGGCAACCAGCTTCTTCACTACATTTCCCAGAATCCTTCTAGACTCCTAGTCCTACCTATCTTGTTTCCCTATTGGCTAACTGTGCTTTATTGACATATACACAGGACTCTCTCATCATCTCCTCTTTTCTGTCTAAATAAAAAGAAAGGTTTTAACTTCAACATAGTCAAATTATATATAACAGAACAGTTATCTAACATTTAGTAAGATTTAAAGAAAGTATTTTATCATCTATCTTTGTGAGTCTAAAGTCTTATATAACTTATCTTTTATCATAACTAAGGAAAACTATAATTATGACTAGCTGTCTTTAACTCCATCAAAGACCACAGAAGGATAATATATAAACACTAGAATTGACAGAGGCATCTCGCTGCCTGGACAGTCATGCGAAGTTCCGCTGTAACGTTTGGGCATCCAACTTCAGCCCATAGGCCACAATGTGTCTGGAAGACTTCTCAGCAAAGCAGGAAATTTCAAACTGTCCATCTGCATTGGCAGTCTGTCATTCATTTTTCAGTGTCCTGAAGAAAGTCTCGTAGACTCTTCCGTGAATCACGAACCCTGAAGGACTGTTTGAGTTCAACAGTCACTTTCCTGTGGGTGCTGCATGTCCAGATTATACAGCAATAGTCAAGCAGTCCAGACAAGAGCAGTTTCTTGCCCAAATGGCTAATCTTGACATGTTGAAAGCAAACTCCATATCAAGTTTCTTTGATGCCCATCTTCCTCTCAGATGTGATTGGTGTGCTAGGAACAGACATTTCTTATTGTCAAGAAAAACCATAAACCATTTTAAATGCCATTTTCTGAAGGTCTTTGAAAGGTTTGAAGACTATTTTAAATATATCTCTGTATATCTAGAAAACCTAACTTACCTAAGTATAAGTTTTAACTATTATAGGCAACTATTTATAATCTGTATTTAATTATACATCACATTTTTAAAAGATTAGTATAAACACAAGAGGAGAAATATACATATCACAAAATTGACCTTAAATTTGTATCAATAAATGAAAGTCCATTCCAAGACAAAGTATTCATTTTTATACTATATTTCCTTTTTTCCTTTTAGAAAGTGATTGACTGTGATCATTACCATTTATAAACAACCCCATTTAAATGAAAACAAAATTTATGAACAGTATTTGGGAAGTTGGGCGTAGTTCATTCTAAACTGCTTCCTGCTGGATAGGGACACTGTCTATACCCTGGGGATCATGACAAACCACAGCAACCTGGCCAAGTCTTTGATTTTGTAGTCCTTAAGGCTGCATCATCTCAGCTGTTTTATGTTGGATCACCTAGGCCACTGCTTCCAGGGGTCTTGGTTTTTCAAACCACAGAGGCCTGGAAGGAATCCACAGCTTTCCATTTTCTGTGGAAACAGAAATAAAATATCTTTTCCAAAGTAACATATCCTTATACTTAATTTTGAAGTCAGGGCATTTTCAAAAGATATAAGTTGGATTAATTAGCAGCATTTATAATCAAGTATATTTTAGCATTTGTTGTTCCTTCCTTAGCAATTGAACAACTGAAAAACACAATAGTATACAGTATCTATGTGGCTTTTTTATTTACCTATTATTATTACTCTATTTCTTCTATTTGTTTCTCTGACACAGGGTTTCTCTCCACTGATGCTTGGGGGGAATTCCCCTAGTGCAGGGCTTCTCACTAGCCCCATAAATGGCTCCCTCAGCCAAGCTACCTCTTTCCTTGCCGTCCCTCCCTGTCCTGCTCCCATCTGGACCGTCCTGTTCCCTCGTGTTCTCCTCCGCCGTCTCCTTCCTCCTCCCTCTCCCCTTATGACCTCCCTTGTAGACATCGGGTCATTGATTAGCCAGTGGTGAATGACTGAGACCACTTTGCAGTGGCGAAGGGGACTGAGCGCTAAAGTTGGCTCCTGAGCGCTAAAGTTGGCTCCTGAGCGCTTAAGTTGGCTCCTCCCTGTGCCCTAGACGAACCTGCCGCTCCTGTTCCTGCCGGTGCACAGGTCCCACATTGACTACCTGCTGCTCACCTTCATTCTCTTCTGCCACAACATCAAGGCCCCGTACATCGCCTCGGGCAATAATCTCAACATCCCCATCTTCAGGTGAGGCCAGCTGCATCTGCGGTTCAAGGTACTAGAAAGTGTTCTGTCAGACATGCTGGCGTTTCTAGAGGCTGCTGTGTACTCTGCCCAAAGGGCTAGTGAACTAAGTTCCTAAGAGTCAGTGCTTGTCCAGGTGAGGGCTCAGCAGAGGGTGTAGGAGACTGGTCTACTGCCTGCTGACTGAGCCTGGTCCCTGAGGAGCCAGTGAGGACTGGGTGGAGCTGAGAAGCGCAGCTCTCAACCCCAGGCAGCACGCAGAGGCCAGCTCTGTGAGCCGACGTGAGTTAGGACGGTGAATGCAGAAACCGCATGAAGAGCTGGTGGCCAGGCAGGTGGGGCCCCCCACGGTGGCATTCAAAGTCCCGGCCTCCGCCTCAAGGTGCAGGTCTCTCTGTCCTGGTCCCCAGAGAGCTGCAGCTAGCCAGACTGGTGTCATAGCACACACACACACACACACACACACACACACACACACACACACACACACTCACACACACACACACACACACACACACACACACACACACACACACACACACACACCCACACACACACACACACAAGATGGAGATGGACAGAGACAGAGCAGGGAGACAGACAGACATGGACACACAGAAGCCTGGTCTCAGAACTAAGGTGGCTCTTTCTTTGCTGGTGCTCTCCTGTGGCCAGATAGCTCAGATATTCATTCCCTTCCGATCTAGTTTTCAGTAAGGCTTTTTGTTAAGTGCCAGATGCTTATGATTTCTCATAGTTGAGCATTTCTTTTTAGGAACTCATGCCAGCTGTTGCTTAGCTTGCCTTTGCTTCAGATATAGCGGGCTGTAGACAAATTTGTGTGTTTGGAGTTTTCTTTCATCACATTTAAGTCTCCACAGTGACAGGACATATCTCAGGGGACATTGTTCACTCAATGAATTTATTCTGAAGAATTTCAGAGTGACTCTACACTTCACCCACATCTTTCCCTGACTTCTTATGTTAACATTTCAATATAGTATTGCTACTTACAATAGTGCAATACTAATGTCTGTTTGAAAACAGTTCTCCATTTGAAAAGCCCAGGAAGGGGCTCACAAACTTCCAACTTCATACCCAAGTGTGTCAGTGTTACAGAGAGAGACTTGGGGTTGGAAGCAGATTGTTTTGCTCCTGTGTATGCAAACACACAGGCCGGAAGAAGGGATCTGACCCCGTGGGGTTAGAGTTAGAGGGTTCTGAGCTGCCTCATGGGTGCTGGGCATTGAACCTGGGTTCTCTGGGGTAGCAGTCAGTGCTCTTAACTGCTGAGCCATCTTTCCAACCCCTGTTCCCTGTTTTGTAAGGATGCTTAGATTTGATTTCAGTTAGATAAAATGGTTCTCATCATCCCTTTTAAACATTAGTTATTTGAGAGTGTTTTTCCCAAAGAATATTTGTTCATTTAGCCATGGGCCAGTGTTTCTTTGTCTGAGACTCAGTGTCTTGAGAGCATGGACAGGGTTTTTTGTTAATGTTTTTTCATTGTTTAATTATTTCTTTTTCCCATTTCTGAGAGACAGAGGTTTACTGTGTAGTTCTGGCTGGCCAGCAATGTAAACCAGGCTGAACATGAAAATTCTGTTGTCTCTGCTTCCTGAGTCCTGAGAGTGAAGGCATGGGCCGCCATGCTCAGCCACTGGTTTTGTTTTTGACGTTTCCATAGATGTATGTAGTGTTTTCTGATTACTCTCTCCCTCATTCTTCTCCCATTTCCCTCCCATCGCCGTTAACCCTGCCCCACCCCTAACAGTCAGCCCCTCTCAAACTCATGACTTTTAGTTTGGTTTTGTGTGTGTAACCTGTTTATGCTTAATTTTTAAAAAAGATTCATTTCTTTGATGTGTATGAATGTTTTGCCCACATGTATGTATAAGCATCACTTGTGTCCTGGTGTCCAAGGAGTTCAGAAGAGCATGTCATGTCCCCTGGAGCTGGAGTTATAGAAGAGCATGTCATGTCCCCTGGAGCTGGAGTTATAGAAGAGCATGTCATGTCCCCTGGAGCTGGAGTTTAGATGGTTGGTGGTAGGAATTGAACCAACAAGTAGCCAGTACTCTTACCTCCTGTACCATCTGTCCCGGCAGTGAGCATTTAGTTTAGTCAGGGTGAGGACTCCTATCTGTGTGACCAGTGGACAAAGGACTCCTATCTGCTTGCCTGCCCAGTGGATGATGCTGTCCTTAGAGCCTGGAGGACTCACCAGTGGATGCAGAACTGAAGACAGTGACTCTGTACTTTTAAATTTAGAAGCATCTGAAACCTTCAAACCTGTGTCACATTGGACAAAGCTTTGCGGATGACCTCACATTGGAACTCCCTTTTGGCTTAGAAATTATGTGGCGATTCTGCGGAGGCTGAGGGATGGGTGAAGCGTGTCTGTAACACGGGAGATGAGCGTCTGCGTTTCCACTGTCAACATCAGGATGACATACATACGGGATTTCTGTCTGAATGGAAAATGTTTCGGAGTACTTGATGTTTGAGTCTTCTTTTTACATTTTCCCTTATGAATAATTCATGCATTCTCTCATTTGCAGTACGCTGATTCACAAGCTTGGGGGTTTCTTCATCAGAAGGCGGCTCGACGAGACCCCAGACGGACGCAAAGACGTTCTCTATAGAGCGTTGCTTCACGGGGTACGTATGGCCTTTAGTCCCTCAACACTTAGTGCTGGCTGCCACAGGAGAGCCCCAGAGATGTTCTGGAACTAAGATTTTTACAGATTTGTTCTTTGGTTTGGGAGGTGGCTGTCTAGATAGGAGTGGTCCTTTTCTTTGTCATCTCCCAGATACAGGTTTGGTGGGATGCTCTGCGGTTATGGATATGGGGAATGTTTAGTCAGTGGCAAAGTTATATTTTTCCGTGTTTTGTTGTAAGTTATGCTGTCTGACCTCATCAGAACGGCATGGTCTTAGTCTGTGTCTAATTTTTTCCTGTCTCAGCACATAGTTGAACTGCTCAGGCAGCAGCAGTTCCTGGAGATCTTCCTGGAAGGCACCCGCTCCCGGAGTGGGAGGACCTCGTGTGCTCGGGCAGGACTGTTGTCAGTGGTGGTGGATACGCTGTCCTCCAACACCATCCCTGACATCCTTGTCATTCCCGTGGGCATCTCCTACGATCGGATAATCGAGGGTCACTACAATGGTGAACAGTTGGTAAGCAGCCACCCTGCACAAGGCCTCTCTTTCAAGCTTTGCTTTTGCATCTGACGGTTAGCGTTGGATCACGGTGGCGTCCGCTGACGGGGTTGTTGCTTCCTGTTGTCAACCTTCCTGAGTGTGCACAATGAGCCGCCTTCGTCTTGTCTGTCAGCTTATGAGTGCGCCCTTGCGCTTCCCTGGAGAAGCACGTGAGCTCGTGTGGGTGCCGGCCTTGGTCATGGGATTGAGCGAGTGTGGTCTCCACCGTGGCGGGGAGGTTATCCGAGCCTTGCTCTCCTGAGGACTGTGGATCGATTTTGAGTGAAGTTTGGTAAAGCCTGAAGCCTGGTTGGGTCATGTTGGGAAAGCAACTGCAATCTAATATGAGAAATGGAGTCATTTTCTCAGGACCCCAGAAATGGTCCCCACACCCTTCCTGTTAGCTCTCTCCAGGAGAGTCACCTGCCCACCCTCTTTGGAAAGATTGCTTTTCTCCTAATACAACAACAGCAACAACAGCAATGTTCCTTTGTATCTGATCACCTGTGTAAGCGCAGCCTTGTTGCAGAATGCGGTTCAGACCCCAGGGGCAGTGTCCCACCGTGGGAATAAACCACAGTGTCCCACCATGGGAATAAACCACAGTGTCCCACCGTGGGAATAAACCACAGTGTCTCGCCGTGGGAATAAACCACAGTGTCTCACCGTGGGAATAAACCACAGGCATAGCTCCTTAGTCTCAACACATTTCTCGTGGAGCCCCCTGGGCTCACTTTGGTGTGTACTAAGGAAGGGAGGAGGTAGCTGTGCGTCTAAGTGTACTGATTCCTAAGCACACCCCATACGTCAGGCACACCCGCCTTGGCTTTGCTAGCTGAGCACTCCGAGGAAGTCCAGTTTTACTGACTCAGTGTGGAATCCTTGGGGACAGCATGTGCCTCAAAGGCTCTGTTTCCAGTGTGTCAGAACTTCCACATAAGGGTTGGGCATTGCATTTCAGCCCACTGATGGCTGTCAACAATTTGTGCTGCCACTGTGTGTGCCTTGTGGGATGATGTGTTAGGCAAATCCACCACGAGACTGGCTGGCATTTCCCCGTCTCTTCTGTTTCCAGGACGTTGTGTCGTTTTGTCTTTTACTTTTTACTTTGTGAATTGAGGGAATGCACACTAAACACACTAGTGTTACATGCTTCTCTTTGTGAATTGAGGGAATGCACACTAAACACATGAGCGTTACATGCTTCTCTTTGTGAGTTGAGGGAATGCACACTAAATAGAGTTACATGCTTCTCTTTGCTCAGTTTCCTCCCATGAACGACAAGGCTGTATCTTGTGTGCATCTTTGCATACCAGCCATTGTCTGGCAGGTTTCAGCTGAAGCAGTCAGGCTTGTCCAGTCTGTCCTGTGGGTCACATGATCCCAGGGAAGCTGTGAATGTGGCTCAACCCACTTAGAGTCAGAAAGCTGACAACCCTGCCTCCAGCCTCTCATTTTTCCTTGTTTATTATCATTGTCTTTTTTATCAAGATAGAACTCAAGTTTCTACTAAGAAATTATTCTGAGTCGGGCGTAGTGTCTCCTGCTGTCTCTGAGCAGTTGAAGGGGCTGTGGGAGTGCAGATTTGGTAGCATAGTGAGAAATACCAGCACACCAGAGCACGCTCCTCCCCTCCACTGCTCTAGGGCAAGCCCAAGAAGAACGAGAGTCTGTGGAGTGTGGCCAGAGGGGTCATCAGGATGCTGCGGAAAAACTACGGATATGTCAGAGTGGATTTTGCACAACCGTTTTCCTTGAAGGTGAGAGACTGACTGTTAAAGCACTCTGGCCTGAAGCTTGTTTCATAAACAGTTCCTCTTAACTGTTGAAAATCGAAATATAGTGTGTATGTTGTCATGAAGGTTTTTTTTTCCCCCTTTTAATTTTCCCAGGAATACTTAGAAAGCCAAACTCAGAAACCAACGTCTACTCCCCTTTCCCTGGAGCAAGCCCTGCTGCCAGCCATTCTTCCTACAAGGTCGGTGTGCAGCCCAGTGCTGACTCAGCTGTCCCATAGCGCTCACTCCCTGCTGCTCACTCCCTGTGTTGCCTGGGGCAGTGGGTCATCGGTAGGAGGAGCATGCTCCTTCTTGTTCTCTCCTCAGTGCAGTGATGGTCCTCCTGATTTGATGGAGGATATGGGAGTGCTCTCTCTCTCTCTCTCTCTCTCTCTGCAACCTTTGTCTAATCATGTGTCAAACCGCTTTTGTGAATTTTGTAAATCTTGTTGGGTTATTTGATTTATGCTTTTGGATATCTGAGCTGAATGTATTTGGGGGTCACTTGGGTTATGCATATTGTATGTGAGTGAGTTTCTTAAAAGAGTAACAGTAACTGAATTTTCCAGAGCTGAGCATTCATTGTAATTTAGAGCCTTCCTTTATAGTAGGTAAAACGCTGAGTTTTCAGATACTTCTAAAACAGCATCTCCCACTTCCTGCGTTTGGAAACGATGTATTAATAGACTACTTAGTCATTAGCAGATGAAGTATTCTGTCTGGAAAAGACATATTAGGCTCTACATTGTAGAGGAGAGCAACCCAGAGAAACGACTTATTTATAATTTAAATTTAAAGTGTGTGGCGATCAGAGCTATCCATACATTTAGAAGTTAGTCCTATCCTGTGAACTGGGGCTGTGTGTGGTACCTGTACGTCACCCCAGCAGCCGGAAGGCAGGAGGAGTGCTGCAAGCTTGGGGCAGGCCTGGCCTGTGTAGTGAGTTTTAGCTAGCCTGGGCAGCAGAATGAGATGCTGTCTCAAGAAAGTAAAGTCAAATAAAGTTGAAGTGTGAGGCTATAGAGAGCTGATTGGACGACTCTTTTTAGGCCTAATGATGTTGCAGAAAGTGAAGACACACCCAGCGGTGAGCCCAGAAACACAGCAGACGAGGCCTTCCGAAGACGGCTGATTGCGAACCTGGGCGAGCACATTCTCTTCAGTGAGTAGCACCCCACGCTGGCTTGTCACGTAGTGCACACCACCTCGTGCTGAGCAGTGTAGGCCGTGCAGACCGGACGTCTGCCCAACTTAGGTCCTCTTCAGAGTCTGTTCCAAAGCCTGTGATAGGCAGGGTGCGGGCCGGAAAGTGACAATGGGGGATGGGTGGCTGAAAAACACAAAAAATACCCAGAGGGTGTCTGACAGGAGCCGTCCCTGTGCTGTCAATTCTCGTGCTTCTTAAGACATTCTGTCAGGAGGATTTGTAGACTCCCTTTGCCTATGAATATGTGCCTGACCTGTTGGACGGTGTGGTATCTGAGCTGATAGCTGGGTGTCTCCCTCTCGTCCATGCATGTTTTAATTCAGGCCACCCATCCTAACGCCGTTTTAGCTGTCGCTCTGCTCTCCAGCAGCTTGTGCACTGTAGTGTGTCTAGACTAACCCCAAGCAGACGGGGAGCGGCCACCGTCGAGCCTTCCTGAAATCCCGAGTTGCAGCATTGTGCGTGGGAGTGGCTCTTGAAGACCTGAACATGGCCCTGTGGTGCCCTGGGGCTTAGCCCTTGTTGGCTGTCCTTCTTTCCACTTCCTGGGCCACTCTGTCGAATTCTCTTCACTTCCTGTGGACCCTGTTGTAGGGGGTTCCTTCCTTTAGCTTGTGCCTCCCATTCTCACTGTGACTGCTGCTTTCCCCACTTGACTCCTGGCCAGAGGATACTGTGTGTGTGTGTGTGTGTACACACGCGTGCGCGTGTGGATGGATGGAATTGTGGGCCTCACACATTCTAAGCGGGCGTCCACCCATGAGCCAGGCCCCCAGCCCAGAGATCTCTTCCTTAAGAATATGTGATTGTGTCTCCCACACCTCAGATATGGAAGCCAAGGCGGATCCTTCCTAATTGTCAAAGGTTTGGAAAACAGAAGTGAGATAAATAGTGAGAGTCACTTCCTGACAGGCAGTGGTGTTGCTGTCTGGTCTCTAAAATACTTTGCGACTGTGAATTGCTTTCTTTTTATTACATATTTACTGGTGTGTTTAAGTTTTTCATAAATATTTTTCCTAATGGCTGTAAAATGGTGCTGGATACTTTTCAAACAATGGAGACAGTTTTAATTGCAAGTGAAATATTTCTAAATTCACTGTTATTTCAGAAGGCCCACAGATGGCATTTCTATTTCATATTTCTCTATATGATGACAATTTTTCTACAGATTCAAAGTGCTGGGCTCCAAAGTATAGGTGTTCTAAATGCGTGTCCATGTCTCCCCCTCCCAGCTCCTCTGGACCACACTGAAAAGAGGAAATGCAAGTGTACTGAACATTCTTGCTCTGAGTGGCCACCAGGCAGTCAGCCTATTTCGTGTTTAAAAACGGAGGGTGTGGAGTTTGTGAATTCACAGTCATGAAATCAGTTAGTGTAGAAGTTAGAATTTGAGCCCAATTTTGTGACTTCAGGCCTTCTGTTTCTTTGTCCTTGTACTTTGATTTTACACATGGAGAGGCACATGAAGAGGGAAATAAGGCTGTAGCCCACAGCTTGCCGAGGCCCACGACGGAAGGGCCCTTAGAGTTCCAGAGTGTGGGTCCAGTTTGGTCTTGGGTCCTGGTATTTCAGTAAAGACATCCATGTAGCGATCTGACCTCACTGCTCTGGATTGAGGGTGGGCCTGCCATAGCATGTGCTCTGGATTGAGGGTGGGCCTGCCATAGCATGTGGTCTCGTGGCTGGCGATTGCTGTGAGGCTCCAGAGCACTGGCAAATCCAGTGTGTCTGCACTGTAAACTGCAGTTAAGGAAATATGGTAGAAGACGTGGCTAGCTCCACAGCTCCTGTGTGAAGCTAAGGCACTTTCACAGTCTCGCTCTCGTTAGAGCAAGGCCAGCTAATGCTCTGTTTCTTTACAGCGGCTAGCAAGTCCTGCGCTATCATGTCCACCCACATTGTGGCCTGCCTGCTCCTCTACAGACACAGGCAGGTGCGTCTGATGCTCCCGGTGGTTCCGTAGGGTATTTGTCAGCCTGTTCCGGGCTAAGGCTGTGAGAAGCTTAGTGACCTGCCCAGAGTTCACCAGCACAGCGAGGGCAGAAGTTTGCATGAGACCGAGCCAGACTGTAAACACAGAGCAGGAGGACGCCCTCTGGTGTAGTTAACTTAAGGTGTAGTTCAGTGACACACAGTGTGCGTTCTCATGGAGAACAGTTTCCAGGACGTTTGCTCTGTGTGTCAGAGCCCCCTCTGCCCTCCCATGACAGGCTTGTGCAGCTCTGCGGTGAGAGACCCTGTCTTTCATGTCCACTGTCATGCGCTTGACACCAGACATAGGGTCTGTTATAGACACCAAGTACACATTTGGGGGGTGGTGCTTAAGAGGGGGGTCCTCACTGAACGCTCAGCATGACTTTCAGACCGTCTGTGTCTTCTCCTTCCCTTTGTGATCCCTTGCGCTCACGTTTTTGTGATGTGACACCTGCCTGTGACATTCCCGGGGAGCAGCTTGTTAGTGCCTTTCCTACTGCTTGAGTCGCTGGCCTGGGCCTGTCTCTGTGTATGCCAGCAGAACACCCACAGCAGGGAGAAAATCTGGGGAAATCAGGCTGTCTGCTGTCACAGTCCCTTTCTGTCTCTGTAGGGAATCCACCTCTCCACATTGGTGGAAGACTTCTTCGTGATGAAGGAGGAAGTCCTAGCTCGTGACTTTGACCTGGGATTCTCAGGGAATTCAGAAGATGTAGTCATGCATGCTATTCAGCTTCTGGGAAACTGTGTGACAATCACCCACACTAGCCGGAAAGACGAGTTTTTTATTACCCCCAGCACAACTGTCCCATCGGTCTTTGAACTCAACTTCTACAGCAACGGGGTACTTCATGTCTTTATCATGGAGGCCATCATAGGTACGTGAGGGCCGAAACATACCCAGAGATGTTCTGGTGCTGCAGGGACACAGAGGGCGCCTGGTTGGTTTAGGTGCCAGCACCTGGCTTGAGGGCGTGCAGCGCCGTAGTTGAGTCTGCAGTGGAGACCGTGTCTACTGAGTCACCTCCACAGCAGTGCGTGTTCTATGGTGGGGGTTAGGGTTAGAGCCATGGGCGGAACAGAGGGCCTGAGCCGCTCACAGAAGGGGAAGCTGGGGGCTTGACTTGAACCTCTCCAGCTACTGCAGACTATCGTTTCTTATTTGTTAGTAGGCTCTAATGTGAGAGCCACCCGGCTCCGGTGACTCCTGTCCCTTGTGTCTCCACAGCCTGCAGCCTGTATGCACTTCTGAATAAGAGGGGCTCGGGAACGTCTGCTGGCGGCCCTGGTAGCTTGATCAGCCAGGAGCAGCTGGTGCGGAAGGCAGCCAGCCTGTGCCATCTTCTTTCCAACGAAGGCACCATCTCGCTGGTGAGCGACGGCTCCCCTGTGCTTAACTGTTTGCATGAACGTGTGAAATACCTTTACTTTCCTCTTAGAGGACATTTGTCCCATTGCTGCAGCGTTCTGGGCCGCTTCTGAGTTTCAGGGACTACTAACCTAGTTTTGGCCTCGACTGTCTTGGTTTGTGTCAGACTAAGTGTCCAGTGCCCTGGCCCTGGGGCATGAGAAATTCCTGGAAGTTCTCAGTCAGACCCCAAGGTGCTGCACAGGGACTGTACGGAAGCTGTACTGAGTTGGTTGTCAGTAACCAGCACACCCACTTGTGGGTGTCGGAGCCCAGGTGATAAGTGGCTAGCCCAGAAGTGAGCTGTTGCACACCTCCTCGGCTTACACACCCAGAGGCTCAGAAGTGTGTGTTCACCTTATCACATCTCCACGCTAATTGATGTTTAGAATGAGGCCCGCGGAGCACGCGGACTTTGGATGCTCAACACCAAGTAGACTGTGTTTTTCTCATATGACTGATTATCGCGGCATTCATGAGTCTGAGCATTGTGGATGTGGTCTTCTTGAACACACTCCTTGTGTGTGGTTGACACTTGGGTGGCGGGATTGGAGGGGTGTCAGCCTGAAGTAGAGAGCCTCGTCTTTTTTATGGGTCTTTTTTGAGTAATTGGGGTGCTGTGTTCATTGCCTGTGTGAATTGTTTTCACTGTGAGATAGCTCCTGCGTGGAGATCATCATAAAACAAAAGAGACAAAAGTTCCTGAAAGGTCCAGGAAGCTGCTCCTTCCAGGGGCTGGTCCTACCCAGGGCATTGGGATCAGGAGCTGTCTCTGAGGTTGGGACCACATAAGTGCGCTCCGTCCCCGGGAAAGTACTCTCTTCTCTGGCCTTGGTATGACCATTCGTTAGGACAGCGGCTCGTAGGCCGTCCTGGGCGTGGATGAGGTGGTGGAGGGAGAGGACGAACCCTGCCCGAGGCCGACTCACTCACCCGTAAATGACTTTTCTCCTCAGCCCTGCCAGACGTTTCACCAAGTTTGCCATGAGACAGTGGGGAAGTTCATCCAGTACGGCATTCTTACCGTGGCGGAGGTAAGAGAGCACACACGCTTGCCTTCATGGTCCTTGTTTGTAGAGCCCCAGCCTGGCTCTAGAGCCGCGCCAGTCCCAAATGAACACACAGGACGCTGCGTTAATTATGAAGCTGTTGGCCTTGCTGGTTTCTTGCTGGCTAGCTCTGACTTAAGTATTTATCCCATAATTGTTAATCTAAGTATTTCTCTTACTGGAGAAAGGGTCCGGACCTCTTATCCCTATGGCGGTTTCATCTTGACTCCCTGTGTTTCTCCTCCTACCCAGAGTCCTCCTGGACTCCTAGTCCCACCTACCTTGCTTCCCTATTGGCCAACAGTGCTTTACTGACATATACACAGGACTTTCATCAGTTGTCCAGCTCTTGTCTTCACTTTCTTTTTCTACCGATTATTTACTTAAACCCGTGTTCCCACCAGTTATCTCAACCGGTAAAGTGCATTTGCCAGGTATTTATACCGGGATGACAGAAGAGGACAATGAGACTGTATCTTGGGATTGTTTCGTTTTTGGGTTTCCTTTGTAAATGGTGTTTTCTAGATTAGAGCATATCTCGATTTGATTCTCTGGCACCCAGAAGTTGACTCTGGGATGAGACATGAAGCTTGTTGGGGCTTATGCGTAGTGAGTTTTTATCTCCTGAGAGTCCAAGTCTGGCCTGACAGACTAAGTGTAGTTCAGAGGGACTGGGGAAGCAGCTAGAGACGATGGGAACGTCCCGTCTTGCAGCTCTCCCTCGGCCACCGTCTGTCCTCCTCCCCTGCTGCCTCCCAAGGGTTCCGAGTTTGGGAGAGGCTGGAAGTTAGCATGAGGGAAGTTAGCAGAGAATGTGCAGGCAGGGTCTGAGAAGAGGGTGGGTTCGTCGGGGGTCGGTTGAGACAGTAAATACATGTGAGGCAGGCACATGTATTTACTGTCGGCCATGTTCTTGGAATAGCAAGATGACCAGGAAGATGTCAGTCCTGGTCTCACAGAACAACACTGGGACAAGAAGCTTCCAGACCCCCTGAACTGGAGGAGTGATGAAGAAGATGAAGACAGCGACTTTGGTGAGGAGCAGCGAGATTGCTATCTGAAGGTATTTTGGTGAAGGATTCTGGGTGTATAGCAATGCCGCGTTAAGCTTATGTCGCAGTTGGATGATGGGAACTGGTGACTTACTCATGTCTAACCAGCTCTGGGACTTCTCACCGAGTGAAGTCATTTACAGTTAACGCCTTATATTGTCAAGTTTGGGGACTGGTAAGTGGAAAGGGAACAGGATTTGCAAAGCTAGGGGGAGGGGAGGAGGTGACGGAGGTGACTCCCAGCTCTCCTGAGAGATGCTCAGGTGGCGCCTGGTACCCACTCTCCACGGGGCCGTGGCCGTGTTTCCAGATGACACTCAGGAATGCCTGGTACCCACTCTCCATGGGGCAGTGGCCATGTTTCCAGATGACACTCAGGAACGCCCTCTCTTTCTGGTTGGGTTTCACTGGTTTCACACTGGACAGTGGTCCTGCTTCTTGCCCTTGAATATGTAATTGCTGTCTCCTGCTTTTTGGATGCATGAGTGACTGTTACGCTGGACTTGTAAACCCTGGAGGGCTCAGCCCTAAACCAGCTGTTTTGGTGATGAGAATTTGTTACAGTTTTGTCAGCCAGATGGGACAGTGTCCCCTAGCTGACTGTTGTTGACTGGAGGCAGCCCTCAAGTCCTGTGGCACTGAGTGATTGCATGAAGAGCCCCTGACCCCAGCTGCTCGTTCCTCGTTAGCCATGAGCCGGAGCAGCATGCTTGCTGGGGGAGGGGCATCGTAAGGACTGTTCTCCCCAACGCGCCCAGCACCTGGCTCTGCTTTCCCATCCTGCCTTGGGGCCTCACGTCCTCTCTCACCCTCTCAGGTGAGCCAGTCCAAGGAGCACCAGCAGTTCATCGCCTTTCTTCAGAGGCTCCTGGGGCCCTTGCTGGAGGCCTACAGCTCTGCCGCCATCTTTGTCCACAACTTCAGTGGTCCAGTCCCCGAGGCTGAGTATCTGCAGAAGCTGCACAGATACCTTATCACCAGGACAGAGCGGAACGTCGCAGTGTACGGTATGTGGCAGTCCCCAGGGTTATGGAAACCTGTCGGTTAATTTTGGGAAGTTGGGAAAAGCGCAGAATCGTGCCACCCTCTCATTCCGGAGATCTGCCATGGTGTGCCATGTAAGGGTACAGCCGTGCATCCTGTGTCTGCCTTTTCGCAATGGACATGATGAGTGAGAGTCATGCATGTCCCGTGTGTTTCTGTCCTCCACGTAGTCGGTCCCTGTGAAGTGCCACCTGTCTTTCATTTCGCTGTTGTGAGTATTGAGCCATCGGCGGGGAAGAGCTAGCTCCTTTGCGAGTCCCGCTCTGCACCTGTCTGCATCCAGGTAGAGGGTTACCACAGAGTGTGTGCCCTTGACGTGTCTGTAGGACAGTCAGCTTTCAGAGCAGAAGAGATGCAGAGACAGTCAGTCCCCTCATGCCACTTCAGGGACAACTGTCCCAGGCCCTTGGCTAACTGGTGGCAAACATGGGTTAGAACTCTTGCTTCCTGACCTCTAGACTTGAGCTTCAGGTGTGGTCATGGGCCTAAGAAGCATCTGTGCACCACTGTCCAGGTTTAAAACTTTACGCCCCATCTTGTTTGATTCTCACAAACCCCTGCAAGACAGATGCGGTGTGTGTCCTCCGCCTCTGCTCTCTGCCTCCTCTGTTTTTGTAATAGATGATGGAATAGCTTTAAAGAGGAAGCAGTACGTTTGAAGGAGGCTGCGGGAGCTGCAGAGAACTCGCTCCAATCTGGACGCTGCGTTCATGCTCTCTGGAGACTCTGTGTGTGTGTGTGTGTGTGTGTGTGTGTGTGTGTGTGTGTGTCTGTGTCTGTGTCTGTGCGTGTGTGCGTGTGTGCATGTGTTTGTGCGTGTGCATGTGTAGGCACACGCGTGTGCGTGTGTGCGGAGCCTGCACACTGACAGGCCCTGTTGTCTCTCTGCAGCCGAGAGTGCCACATACTGTCTTGTGAAGAACGCTGTGAAAATGTTTAAGGATATCGGGGTATGTGTCCACGGTCGTGCTGGCCTTTGTTTCTCGTGGCTCTAATCTGTTGCCCTGCTTTGGGTCCCCAAGGGGCATACTCTGCTGGGCTAATTGGGAATGGATTTCCTAGGGTGACGTTGGGGCAGGGCATGTGTTGAAGGCTTATTTGAATGTATCAGGATCCTGTGGGTTTCACATTCATTCCCAGACTATAAACACCAGCCATTGGGCAACTAGTCCATGTTCTGTTATTTTCTTGCATGTTTACTAGCATTTCTAGAGTTCCGTCAGCCTTCTTTACCTTCATGTATGATGATCTGCATGTGACCTTTTATAAGGGCGTGTTTCTGACTCTAGCCTCAGCTGTGAAACCCAAGGCTCTGGCTGATCTCCCCCCAAACACTCCATCTCGCGCCTCCAGGCTTGCATCAGACCCACACACCTACAGTGCTAGCCTCGGACACCTCCATGCCACAGTTATGTAAAGCTTTCTGTCTGTACTGACAGCAAAGGGTCAGTCTTTCTGAGTCTTGGACGTACATCCTGGGCTGCTAACAAAAGTGCTGTCTCTACCCTGTTTGTTTTTTGACTTGTATTTTCTCTCACCTCTCTCTTTAGGTTTTCAAAGAGACCAAGCGAAAGAGAGTCTCCGTTTTAGAACTGAGCAGTACTTTCCTACCTCAGTGCAACCGGCAGAAACTCCTGGAGTATATTCTCAGTTTTGTGGTGCTGTAGGGATCTCTTAGCACCTGTGGCGAGGGAGGGGCTGTAGATGAGTCCCTCGCAGGCTCCAGTCTGACCCAGAGTGGCAGGTGTCCTGGTGTTGACCCAGCCTGCCTTACCCCGAGGAGATCTCCAGGAAGATGTGTGCCTTCTGCCCCCTTCCCCCCAACCCCGTGGACGCTCCCCCCAACACAGTCACAGTGTCCTGCGCAGAGACTCCGTCGGGGCCAGTGCGGTCTGACTCATGATCACTAGGTCACTAGGTGAAATCTCAGTAAGTTATTCCGGAGTTGATTAAAGGTTCACATTTTAAGTTTGACTTTTAAGGACTAGTTACTGTGACGGACACAGAGGCGTGTGAAGAACTGACTCTTGTATGTAGTGACCTTTCCTTTAAGACAGTCGGGTCATCCGTTCTCCGTCTCCGTCTTACCGCTGTCAGCAGAGCTGTGGTTATGTGAGAACCCTTGCGTCTCAAGCGCTTTACTAAGGAATGACTCTGCCCTGGGCTGGCAATCTCCGCATGTGTTTGAATAGCTGCCTGAAAGCAGACGATACTGTGTAGAGCCGGAAGCGAGGTGTTGTAACAAAAGAGCCCGTGTCAGGAGGGGGTCTGTGAAGCTGTGCCTGGCCAGGAAAGTGGCGCTGGAGGCCTTGCTCACACGGCGAGGAGCCACCGGGCTGTAATGCTCACCAAGGGTTTAGAATTGCCTGCTGTTGGCTGGCTGTGCCCTCCCAGCCCTTTAAGGGCAGGAGTCTGCCGCTGCTTAGGGGTCCTCCAGCCGGTGAGCCTGTGAGCTGCGTCCTGGCTCAGCTGGAGGGACCGCTGGCCTGTCGCACCCTGGGTGCTGCACCCAGGTCTGGGTGACCAGTGCTCAGTGGCTCACTGTGCAGCCTGTGTGGCAGCCACAGTGACCTGCAGAGTGGCAGATGGTTGGAGCCTTTGGATTTGAAGCTCTGAGAAGGACCCTTGGTTCCTTAGACATTTATGTGGTCTACATACCCAAACTCCGTTGCCACTTGAAGGCAAATAATATGAAGATTTTCTGTTTTCAATGGGTAGGTGCCTTTTTGTGAGCAAGGAGCATAATTGCTTGTTATTTGTGGTAGTTACGTAGTTTCTTAATGATCATGTGACATTAACAATCTGTTGTCCGTATCTCTATCATTTTATGGAATTAAGGATTTTTCTGATGAGTGTTCCATAGACGATTTGAATTTATAAAAGTATTAGGGATGAGCTTTTGTACTTTCCTGACTTGAATTTTGAACACTGATAGCATCCAGTGAGAGGCGTGTGTGTTCGGGGCGGGTGGGGCCCTTCCTGGCATCACACAGGGATGGCTGGTTTGGAGCTCATCGCCGTAATGCTGTGCTCCGGTGGTCCCCACCCTCCCGTTGCGCACGCCAGATCTCCCTTCCCTCTGGGTCAGTTCCCTGTCAGTTGTGGTGACGTGGGTGTGGAGTGAGATGTCACCTCTAGCCATGAATTCCTACTGACCGTAGAACTGCCCTTCCCTTCCGCTGGACTTGGGGATGCCCAGGGAGTCTGGCTTACTCCCTTGGGGCGCCCTTCTGGGGACTCCAGTTAGTCTTTCTTCCTTACCCTCTAAATGCAAACCGAAGGTGGCTCCCTCTGTCAGGTGGCTGCAAAGCCGCGGACCTGACCTCCCAGTGGATGCTGCCGCCCCGCCCGCCCGTCACCTGCAAATAATGGCGCCTCTGCAGCCTGAGCAGAGGAACACACGCACACTTCCCTTGCTGTGCTCTCCCTTTTGTCCGGCTCATTTTAGGGATTGCGCTGACTTGCTGTCGGCAGACACTTGGCTCACTGTGAGGAAAAGCCCACATGCTTTTTGTAATTAACTGGTGCTTTGAGACCGAATCCCAACCAAAGCTATGCGCGTCCCGACAAGCTGACCCTTGAGTTAATTTAGCACAACTCATTCTTCAGTGCCTCGTCAGGAAGAGGGAGACACAGAAGGCGCCACAGTAAGGCTTGCAGGCAGCCTGCTGGCTGATAGAGACAGTCCCTTGTTTCCTGCCGTGGGTGGCATCCTCGGAATGAAACAAACCAGGTGCTTGTATCTAACTTACTACAGTTTACTCTACTGCATTTCTGTCAAACCGAAATGCATGCCCTTTAGGGGAAGACTGTGAGACAAGTTAAAATAAATAAAAACCGAATAGTAAGCAATATGAAGCTGCACTCTGTTTTTAAATGGGGCTAACCCAAGTAGCTCAGAGAGGGCAAGGCTGTTCGCTTCTCTCATCCGAAGGGAAATGAAGGCAGAAACGAGTTAAGGTGAGCACAGCCAGTAATGTGCTGCACCCTTGGCTCTGGGTGCAGAAATTAGATCTGGGATGGCAGTGCAGGGGACCTCAGACGGGAGTTTCCTGCGCCCTGCTCTCCTATTGTGTTTGCATCAGGTGGGTGCTCTGGGTGTTGCTGGGTTTTGGGGTGCGTGGGAATGCTACGGCGCATTGCAGAGCTGAAAGGGTCTGCATTCAGCAATACATAACCTGGAATTCCCCAAACTGCTTTGACCTCAGGACCTTTCTCCCCTCTGGGACACCTCACTGCACGCTGTGGAAACTGTATTCACTAGCTCGTTGAGCAGACCAAATGGCCCCAAACAGAGTTTGCATGCTTCTGTGTCGTCCCTGATGCAGCCCGTGGACGTTATTTTTCCTTGCTGGGAAGAGTGAGCATAGGGCATTGGCTGGAGCGCTTTCCTTTGGTGGAAATCAGCTACCCATGGCCCTGGCCTTTTAAAACAAAGTGGCAGAATTAATACAAGGATTGATTGGGGTAAATAATGAAGGTTTTAATGTAGATCTAGAAGAAAACACTGCACAATTGAATGCAGATTTTTATCCATAGACAACTGTAGTGTTTTGCAATGATAGACCCTATCTTTGAGGTTTATAAGACTTACTATGGGTTGTAAATCTGATTTTTAAAAACACTTTTTAGGAGCTTGAGAGCTGCCATCTGGCATTTAGTTTAGTACAACCAATGACAGCTTCTAGAGGCTCTTGACCTTACTTCCCAACAGCTAAAGGGCTAACTGTCTCTATGAGGTGTTTGTTACATTGTTTGCCCATTGTACAGAGTATACTAGATTGTTGTAAAAAGAATTGCTACTGTAGAATAGCACTGTATGATTTTATGAATGACACTGCTTTGGAAATGTTGGCTGATTTTTATGCCTGATGATGGTGTATCCTGAAAAGCATGGAAATGGAGTTTTGTTTTAATAAATCAGAAAAAAACCCCAACTTGTTGTGGAATATTATTTTACTTGTGTAAAGGTGTGTTACATTTGTTTCTGCTGCTTTGTTACTGATGCAAAGACACGTTACATTTGTTTGATTAAATAAAATTAACCTTGTTTCGGGAGGTTGAGTCAGCAACTAGCTGACAGGAAGTGGTAGGGAGGAGCTAACTGTAGCGAGGGTTCTTAAGTGGTAGGGAGGAGCTAACTGTAGCGAGGGTTCTTAAGTGGTAGGGAGGAGCTAACTGTAGTGAGGGTTCTTAAGTGGTAGGGAGGAGCTAACTGTAGTGAGGGTTCTTAAGTGGGGGCTGAGCAGAAGGACGGCCCCATTTTTTGGGAGATGTGAGCAAGGAGAGAAGAGGGAGAGGAGGATATCAGGGCCCAGTTGCACAGCCAGGCACGGAGTAAGAAGGACAGAAAGACGTTTAGAAGAAAGGTTAAAAAAAAGGCCCAGGGGCAAACTGTAGAAGGGGAGAAATGGGTTAATTTAAGTTAGAAAAGCAATAAAATCTTAGCACCCAGAGATAATTTTACGAAATGTTGAGGCTGAAAGTAACAAATGTCTTTTTACTTTTGTTACGTTAGTTACCTAGTCGTAGGTAACTAACGTATGTCCTGTCTGGGAAGAGGGAGCCTGGACTGAACTACTGGACTCTACCCGCTTAGCCTGCGATTGCGTCTGAGGAGCTGTCTTGAGTGAAGTTTGGTGAGGGAGAGGGCCCTGCCCACTGCGGGCGGCCCTGCACCTATGTAGGTGGTCCTGGGCTGTGAAAGAAAGCTAGGAAAATACAACCAATGGGAGAGCCAGTAAGCGCCTCCAGTTCCCGCCCCGACTTCCCTCCGCGATGGACGGTGAGCCGAAAGAGATCTGCTCTCCGAGTTGCCTTTGGCCAGAGAGTTGTATCATAGCAGAGTGAGACTAGAGTACAGTGTTTGCTGTGCAGACATGCAGTGTGGGATCTCAGCACGGATGTGGAAAGCCAGGCATGGCAGAAAATGCTTGCGCCTCCAGTGCCGTAGAGGGTGAGGACTGTAAGACCGCTCCGGCTTGTTGGCTTCCAGCCTCGCTCCAGGTTCAGTGGAGACCCCATCCCAAGGGAATAAGGTGGACAGAGAAGGATACCCAAGACCTCCCCTGTCCTCTACATCGGCACGTCTGCACAAATACCATACGTGTACACCACATGCACAGAGATGGTGGACGCTGACCCGGGGGTCTCTGTAGCCAAACCAAGTGCTACAGACAGGGCGCCACCTAGAGATGTGTTCTGGAATTAACGTAGACATTCCAAAATAAGATTGAGTGCTTATGTAAGACCCTGGCAAGGTCTTTTATAATACAGACCTTCAACAAGTATGCAAATTAGAGTTAGTTCATTGCTTACATGACTTTGTGCATATGCTTGAATTCACCCTTTTATAAATTGGGGCTAATAAAAGTAACTGCCGTGTGAGTTCACTCAAGTGTTGCGGAAGTGTAATTCATTCTTAGCTGGAAGGTGGACTGCTTTATTGTACTGGGTTTTCTTGAGGCAGGTTTTTTCAGTGGGTTCAGAAGGCCTCTGACCTATTCCTTCTGGGCTACCATTGACAGTCACCTGTGGGAGCTCCTGTATGCATCTCTTCCTGAATCTGCCCAGAGTGCTGGTGAGCCAACACGTCTGCTTATAAGGTGGGGCCCATCAGTGACTCACAGCCTCTGCTTGTAGCTTCTTGGCCTCTCAGGAACATTCTGAGGGGTCTAACACTCCTTTCTTGTTTTCCCTCTCCCTGTCCCCTTTGTCAGGCCCTTGCTGCCCCTTCCTGGCGTCAGCTTGCACATAGATGACTTGCTGCGGAACTCTTGTCTCGTGACTGGTCCTAGGAAACCAGGTGAAGACAGAAAAGTCTTCTTTACTCTTAGACGGTGCTCAGCTGTGCACCTATGTTGAGAGTTAGCATTTCCTAAGACTGAAGGTGGACAGTTAAAAATATCTTATGTGTACGTATGCACGTGCGCATGAGTATATTTCTGCACCATGTCTGAAGTGTCCTTGGAAGCTAGAACAGGGTATTGGGTCCCCTGGAACTGGAGTCTCCAACAGGTGTGAGCCATTATGTGGGTGCTAGGAAATGACCCTGGGTCCTCTAGATCAGCCAGTGCTCTTAAACACTGAGCTATCTTCCCAGCAACTCCAAACATTTCCGATGAGCAGTAGGAGAGCCCCACGAGAGGATGGTGATGGAGAATAGCCCCTCTGTGAGTTTCCTTGAGAAAGGTCTGCCTGCAATGGTTGACGATGTCAAAATTTGGGAGGCAAGTGTCCAGGAAGTGCTAGTACTATCCGGAGCCAACCTTTAGAGTGTGTGGGGATCATACAAGTGGCAAGTAGTCCTACCCTCACCCTGGGGCAGCACTGTGTCTCCCAGGGGACAAGTACCACGCCCAAGAAAAATTTCCTAAGGACACTGCAATTAGATGAGGTGGTTCCAGAGCCTGCTGGGCTGCTGTGGAGATGGGGGCTTGACTGGGGTTCTCATCCAATAGACACAACACCCTTTCACTGGGTCTTGAAGGAAGGGGAAGAACAGAGAGTTTAGATGGGAACCTTTCGAGATTTCACCTGCGAATTCAATTTGACAGCTATTAAGTGGTTATATACAGGATCTATATGTTGTCACCTCATCCACTCTGGTGACTTGGAGGCTCCAGGCTGATCTGCTTGCACTTGACTTTCAAAGCAAGTGACATACATTTTCTGAGCTGCTGGGAGCTTTGTTTTCATGTAAACCTCTGGCTACGGTTAAAGTTGATAGATCTACAGTCCTACCTAGACTTGCAGGTTGGTGAGGAACAGAGAGGTGTGTCTTTCTGTTACTGCATTTGCCCATTCCCTGTGCCAAGGGCCGTTTGATCACTGGGGCTGCACAGTTGTTTTGTTTTTTGCTTTTTCTTTTGTGTGTTCTTTTTTTTTTTTGAGACAGGGTTTCCCTGTGTAGCTTTGGAGTCTGTCCTAGAACTAGCTCTTGTTGACCAGGCTGGCCTCGAACTCACAGAGATCCTCCTGCTTTGGCCTCCCAAGTGCTGGGATTAAAGGCGTATGCCACTACCACCCAGCTGTTATGTTTTCTAAAATGGACAGTGGTGTCTCTGAATGCACACATCTTCAAAATGGAGAACAACCAGGCCATTTGAGTCTTCATATGGAGCAATTTGGTTTTTCTGAGCACAAACTGACAGCCAGTCTCATCTGTGGTGGGGAATTCAGAGGGGCGGAATGGAGAAGCACTCATTTCCTTCAAAGCATGAAGCCCCAGGCCATGGCCCATCCCAGTTGTGCAGCTGTGGCTATGTGTGAAGGTGTGGGAATCCCAATGTCACACTGCATGTGATGACCAGCCAATCTCACCTTTGGGACCTCAGGGAGAAGAAAAGATGACCATTGTGTGGAAGGCCATGGGCGAGTCCCTGTCTTATTGCCTTATTTTGGCAGGGAGCCCAAATTGCCAACACAAAATCGAAGCCCATATAAATTGGCTCCAGAATCTGGAGACACCTTCCCACCTACAGCATGACCAAAGCTTGGCTACCCAGTTCAAGTCCCAGCTCTGCACCTACCAACCACTGGATCTCAAGCCCGTTTTCTGATGACCTGCCTTTATCTAACAGGTGACACCGTGAAGGAGCGAAAATGCTGAAAGCACTGTCCCCGCCTGGCTTATTATGGCGACTGCTTCATAAATGTTAGCTCAGGTCAGGGTTCTGTCTCTTCTGATAATCTGGCAAGTTCAGTTTTCTTCTGGCTGGCCACTCCTTCCTTGGCCAGCGTTGGACAGACACTGGTCTAAGCTCTTCATAAACAGGCTTTGGGATTCTCCAACCTCAGCATGTCTTAAAGTCATACATTAATTTTCATTTCCTTCAGTCGGGCCCACCTGCACTAGGACGCTGGGTGTGGCCCTGCCGCATTTTTGGATCTGCCCACTAGGTGGCGGTAGAACTTCATCAAGAGTTCTTACCCGCATACCTAGGTAGATGGCGGGGGTGGGGGTGGGGGGGGGCGGGGGAACAAAAGCAAGGCCGAGGCCGCCCAGACAGCTAAGGTGGGTGCTGCGTCTACGAATACTCTTTAACAGTGTTGCTTGTCACAGACATCCAAGTTAGAACCCAAAACGGCTTCCTCAAAGGAAAGCAGGGCAGGGAAAGCCAGAGACCCGGCCTGGGCATGGGGCGTGGCAGAGGGCGTGGCTCGGGCAGCTCCGCGTCCACGGGAAGCTCGATGACACCTGCTGTCTAGGAACCCCTAGGAATGAATGCCTGCAAGGGCTGCGGAGGTGAGGGGTGGGGTAGGTCTTAGCTTTTCTCCCCGGCTTTCCATTCATTGGTGCGAGGGGACTCCAAGCCCATCACTGAGCTCAGAGTTCGTCTTACTCCCCATTTTGGCCTACCTTTGTTTTATCCGAAAGTAGGTGCAAACAATTGCCCAAGTCCATGATGAAGGAGCAAGGGCCTCCCGGCCACCCGGAAACGTCCCTTTGGTGCCCAAACACCGTCTGCCCAGACTTTGCCCGTGGAAACCGACTTTCTCCCTCCCGTCTCGCATTTTAATCTCCTTTATTCACCCACAATGTGGGTTTTACACGAGAGCAAAGGAGCAAACTGGGAAGGGGGCTGTGGGGTGGTGGTGGTGTGAGTTTGGATCTGATCTGTGTGAAAATGGGGGACCCTTCTGGGGGGACGAGGGCTGAAGACTGGGTTGTCCCTTGCTGGGTCTCCCCTGCAGGAAGAGGGCCTCTGGAGCCATTAGGACAGTGGGCGTGCCGTCCACTAGAAGGCGCAGGCGTCCTTCAGTTTAGCCTGGAGTTGGAGCCAGCTTGGAAGTGTGAGCTTTGGGGAGTAGTCTCAGGGACCCCCGAGGCCCGCAGGCTACTTTCTCGCATCCCCTTAGCGCCCTCGACCGACAGTTAAGGCTTAACCCTCTTCCTGCTCAAGTGTGCCTGAGTTTCCTTGGGCGTCGTGTGCTC